AATGATATACTTATATATTCATATGTCCTGTATTCTGTAATAAATCATATCAAATCAAATATTTTTTTTAATAAAAGGGGTCGCGTAAGACTTTTCAAACAGACTCAATTTTGTGCGCAACCAAATGTGAGAGAAAATCTCACGCGGTTAAAAAAATAATTATGATAGGGGTCGGAACCTTTTCGAGAAGCATTGTATATGCTCTCTTGGGGAGATACAGGGTGATGAGGTTATAATTTCGAAATCGGGACGGAGTGGATTGAATATCTAAAAAAGTTGTATGTCAGTCCACGAAGTGGCATAAAAATTGGAATATTTAGAATTTTTAAGAGAGTAATCCCATCCCAACACAGCATTATTTGAACAATATTGATGTTATTTAGACTAGATAAACAGTCATAAGCAATCAGTAATTATCCTGCTAAAGATAAAATAACATCAAGGCGCAAGTAAATAGACTACTAATTGGTGATTGGTGGTCATCCCTAGTAGGCTGCAAAAGGCTAGGGAGGGTTCAAAAACTGTAAATCCAACACCCAGGTAACAATTTGTAGTAACGAAACTGGGTAGTCATAAGATACGTGACGCCCGTGTTACAAAATGTAAGCCTCTTTATAAATAAAACACGGGGTCTATAAATTTAACAGGATGAGAGTAAGTCTATTACCCTTTCCATTTGGCGCTGAGTGTATTCAACAGCTAGGTAATTAAAATAGGATTGTAAAGAAACTGTGTGCCGGCGGATTAATTCGTTTTCACATAAAAACTGGTCGTACTAGAACACAACTACACGCCGCACTGCAACGGGTAGTGGAAGTTAAAATGTTAAGAAAAGAGAAATGTCTATCAAACCAGGTAGTGCTGACCTTGCGCGGGTTTGTATTCTTGAAACTGAAAAGAGCACCTACTTGTCTAGTATCGACGAAACACGCAACTGGTATAATGACTACCTTTTAATTGAAATGCAATTAAGCTATTAGGAGTTGGAAATAATTGAACTGTTATGGTATTGTTCTTACAGATTTACTTTTAAAAAATATATACAGGTACACAATGATTTATCGAGTCATGAAAACATATTTATTGTAAGTTCTATAATATTCGTGGTTTCTAATTGCACTACAAACCCAAAGAGGCACCTCTGTAACTTCTGAAACCTATGTCGTGGTTGTTTTTTTCATCCAGTATGTTTTTTAGCAAGCAAATAATTGAAACCACAATTATGAGCTGAAAAGGTTCATTAAGGTTTTTGCTTCCTATTTTTTTTCCACCGAAGCAGCCGTGCAGGCAGAAGCCTAAATGTCAGGAGACCGGGGCTGCTATGAGGATCCCAAAGAAATTTTGTTAATCCGATTTTTGAACTGCCTGAAGTTAGTAGAACTGAGAAAAGCTTCCTCTTGTAGATTGTTCCACAATCCACGTATCGGCCCGCCGCTGCTAAAGGGTCCCGAGACTGTCTCTTAGAGAAGAGTCATCGATCAGTCGGACAGCCCCCATCAAACAGAAATAATGCAGTCGGGGCGGCAGCACCCTTAACGTGTGAGCTATACTCGAGGCTAGCTCTTATCTGGGCCTTGTAGAGAGTGAGGTGATTATGTGGAGAAAAGTACTTCTTAGCCTAGCTTTGTTCCGGCAGCTTTCGCTATTGACGAGATGTGTTCATGCAAATCCAGACCTCGGTGAGCTGGACTCCGGCCAGTCGAAATGAACGGCTCGTTGGCAGAACTTGGCCATCCATCGAAACAGGATGAGCGCTAGAACGCTTTTTGTTCGTCAGTGTACAGTATGTACTGTGTTTTGGAAGCATTAAACTGTACAAGATTTTAGCATCCTCAAGCTGTGATAACCTCCTCGTCAGAAAGGAAGTCGCTGCTAGTCTTCTTTCTTCCAGCTCACCGACAGAAATAGGCTTGTCATTCTGAATGGATGAGAGTGCTGTCATCAGGAAAGCTGTGGATTGGGTTGATCGTCCAAGAAAGCAGGTCGTTGAGGAAGAGGAACAGTGTCGTAGCCAAGACCGATCGCTGCGGAACAACCGCGTTGGCGTTGTGGGATGAAGGGGAAAACCGTCAGTTACGACGGATATCCTGCGGCCAGAGAAAAAGCCGGCCACCCGTCTGCAAAGCTTCTCCAGGAGGCCATACGATCGACATAATCTTCGCAGGTTTTCGGCTTGTTCTCCGATTTTTGTCGTTTTTTTTTTGGCGCGAGACAAAACAGCTGAGAACGCGAGAAGAGGCGAGAACTTGTATTGACGCCACACTCGCATATTTCTCAGTGGCAGGTGACTCGCCGATTAGAACAGTTGTGCCTGGTATTTACTACTGAGCATAAATATGAGCCGGATTTGGATGAACGAACTAGAATTGGCATTCCTAGAATATTTTCAAGCAGAACCGATTTTGTGGAATACAAATTTAAAAGAATATAAAAATAAACTAAAAGCCTACGATGCGTGGAAACGTATTAGTACCTCGATGGAATTACCCATTGGAGAATCAAAAAGCAAAAAAAAACGTTATTAGCCAGCTACACAGGGTATAAAAATAAAATCAAGAAATCGGAAAAATCTGGTGCGAGTGTCGACGACATTTAATTCTGCGTCCATCATCATCGAGCACGAGAACTGTAATGAGAACCTTGCGAGTGTGGACCCAATGAAGATTCTCGCGTGAGTTTGGAGAGGCTCTAAAAATCGGTTCCACATTCACATTTCTTATGTTTTACTCGTTTTCTCGCATCTTGCGTGAGTGTGGAGAGGCTTTAATAAGAAAAACATCTAACTATTTACTCCTGGATATTGGATATTAGTAATTTTACAATTTTTTGTTCACTACAATTGTTTTTTTTTAATGGATCATGTTTTTCATCAAAAGCTTAAAATCCAGGCAGCAGCGGTGGCCGCAGTAGTAGACTCTTCGGTCTCCTGAACAGTCGCCGTGCGCTGTGCGGGTACGAGTCCCGTCCCAGGAGAAATTTTTCTCTTGGCTATGGACATTGTGATTGTCCGTAGGTGGTAGACGGTTTCTGACTGTCGAACGCGGAGGTACCACCCGGCGGATCTCGTAGGCGGAGCCAGAATGTGTGCATGTTGCATGCACACGTGTTCCCTCGCCAGAGTCCGTGTGGCGTTCCCCCTTTCCCCTGTATCCCCTTATAGCCCCACGGTACCCAATGGGTGTTTAGGCCTTGGTGGTAGTTGGAGTATAAAAAAAAATTTAAAGGCGGGGTGGGGTCTCACAGGCAGTGTCTAGATTATAACATATTTCAAAAAATAAATAAAATATGGTGAATGAGTAAATGATGATAAAATGGTTCTAAAAGTTATTTTAAGAATTTTGTAAATGTTGGCAATAGCTTGAATACCTTAGTGACTTTTAAATTTTCATGTTTGGTAAAGATGGAAAAAACATGGAAGCTGAGATGAAATGGTAATGGTAGCGCGTCAGTGGGCTTTGATTAATGTATTCTACCTGAAGATAACCAACAATGTTCTGTATTTCAGCGTCCAAAAAAATATCTAACATGAAATAAGATACCCAGGTGTCATCAATTAAAGTTTGTGACAGCTATGTTTCCTCCTCACCACACTTATTAGAAATATATTTTGACCAGGTTAGTTACTATATGCTCATTGGTTGGCTATGAGGGCCATCTATCAGACTAACCTTTTCACAATAGATTTCTAATTATTACAGAGCTGTGATAAATTCTCATGCAAAAAAAAACGACGCCAGGGTATCTCTTTTTAACTCATATAATCTTTTGATGAATGTGTTGATTCAAAACGCCGAGTATGGGGTACTCCGTCAAACTCGGATACCGAGTACCGGTTACTTGGATGAGTTTTTTAAACGTTTAAGAATAACTAGGACTAGGTATAATATGTGTTTACTGTGCAATTCAACAGCTATAATATTGCATTTTTGAACATTTATATTTGATATACTTGTCCATTCTCGGCATTCTCCCTATTACAAGAAAAGTACATATGTACATTTGTAAGACATTCAGAAGGTACAAGCTGCTCAAATTCCAAAAAACTACCTAACAGAATTGCCATCATGTCATGGTGTTGGCTACTAAATTGAGCACCTTGAGTTGAGCACTAAATTTAAATCTTATAGGTTTTTGAGCTACCTTTCAGAAGAGACTATGCCAAAAACACATAACTGCTGGATGTGGTGGCAGGCCCACCTGTAATTTGGGAAAGACTAAACAAAAATTATCCTCACATACCATTTCAATAAAGGTATTCTTTGTAGAACGGTAGAATCTGATATTTACGTTACTTTTAGACCATTGCTGCATTTTGCTTACTTTGTTTTTAGGTTTTTGCTGTTTTAGAGTGTTCAGATACTTAGAAGGTGCAATTTCTAATAAAAATTGCAAAATACCTTGTTATGTGGTCTAGCTACTCCATGGACTGTATTTTTTATGAAAAAACTTGTAAGAGTAATGCCTTGTATATAAAAAATGAGCTACACAAATTTTGTAAATGTAATTACACTACCTTACTGGAGAACTGAGAGTTGACATATACCAGTAAATAATTCAAATAATAATAATAAATGACTTTAATTTTACAAGTCAGGTTACATCAGTAAAAGCTGTTTTTCAGAACCAACCATGGCAAGAAACTGATTCAGCAGAATCATGCTGTAACCTTGGGTATTTCTTTGAAGATGCATTAATGTCTTGGGAGACATATCAGGAAGGTTTGGGAAAAGGATATGAGCTCAGGTTTTGCAATTCTTCTATTTACACAAGTTGTGTGTTTTGGGTTCAGACTGAGTAATTACCTGGCCGAGTTATTCAATACTCATCAAAACTGGGTACTCAGTAAAATGGCCTGAGTATGCACTGGATACAAACTGAGTCCTCAGTGCATTCCTACTTAATGTACAACAGTTGAGGAACAGAGTGTCCTGCAAATCATCAGTAACAGCAAACAATTTTCTGAAACTTGTAGGTCTAGTAAAAAATGTTTTTTATTGTAGGTTCAGAACTTGGTAAGACCAGCAACACAGTTGCAAATGTTTATCAAAAATCACTGTGTATACCACATGCCCAGCAACAGTTAAATTGTTTACAAAGGGGGGGTAAAATAGGATAGAAACCATGGCTTTCTAGCTAATTATCTCAAAAACTGAATAGCAGATTACCTTCTAATATTGTGTATTTATATTACTTATATATTTGTTTATATAAGTAATATTCATGTTTCATGTGAAGCGTTTTGAAGCCATGTGGACAATTATTTTCTTATATAAAATACCTGGTATGGGGAAAACATTTATGTGATAATAACCACCTGTATTTATAAACTGTCAAGTAAAACATTTGAACATGGAATGTAGAATTTTCTTCAAATCCTGAGGCCATATTCTAATGCCATTTGAGTTTCCTATGGTAATTTGTTAATCATTATCATCAAGTATCTTCATTCAAGCAATGCAAAATCATTTTTCAATATTTCACCAACACTTTCAAAGCAAAAAACCATCAGGCATTCATGAGAATTTTGACTGAACACAGAAAGTTAAAATACAGATGGCAAAATCAAAATTCTATGGTATTAAATTAAGACTTCATTCCAGTATCAACCCACAACTTGGACTCAATTTTGGAGGATCATACTAATTTACTAGTAACGGTTCTCCTTTTGGATTTTTACGTTAATCTATTTTATTCAAATCATTATCTCTATGGATAGATTAATGAACAATCAAGTTATATATCTATTTTTATTAAATGCATAATTATCTTATCTTGCCCTGATGATGAACTAGTTTCCAGCACACTTTGATGCTCCTTGTTCACTATCACAAATATTGATGAGCAGTTCAATGTAATGCATTTAATTTAAAGGCATATTAAATGACAATAAAGGTAATAATTCACCTGTCATATAATTGGAAAAAAGAAAGTTATATCTTACCTTTCAGCTACAAACATGTCAATTGTAATACCTTTATAGAAAAGCAGGTGCAATTCATTTACCAAATAAAGATTCCATCAAGACTGCCTTGTACTGCATCATAATAGATTATAGTTTGTACTTACGGTTCAGCCTCAATACTCTTCAACTTAGCTACATAGTTTGATGGGATGTACCCTTCTTGCCTACTTCTTTTGCTTCTTGCCAGCCACCAATCACCTTGTGTATCATTCAAAATCTCCAAATGTTCACCCTTCCTGAAACTCAAGTCCTCATCAGTCCTAGCCTCGTAATCATACAAGGCTACGAAAATCCTTGCACTGGGTTGTTCGGGTTCTGTGGGGTTCGCGACTGGGGTTCTAGTCACCTCGGAGGGTGGTGTGGGAATGGGGTTCGGCTGTAGGGCATTGTCCTCAATGGGGTTCACCCCCAAAGCGCCACGGGATCGTTCAATTCGATCTGTTGTGGAAGGGCTACTGAAACAGTTGCCCATTATTCTATCAGTCTTTTGTTTTCGCGCAAACGATCACTACTCACGACAATCGAACATCACAAATAGGAGACTTTGGGCGTTCCGTAAGATTAAAAAATTAAAATGTCTTGTTTGCTAATGAACGAAAGGGGCTTGTAAAAGAAAATAAACAGACACACATTTCCACCCGTCAAACTCCATTCAACACACTGAATTTATCAGGGAAAGGCCTCTCGCCTTCTCATTCTACAGTGGCGTCACGACTGGGTATTATTGTGCCGGTCAATCCTCTGCCATATTGCAGGCTGTCCTTCAAGTAAAAAAGTGGCCAGTTTTAACCAGTTAAACAAAATTTCTCTAGAGACCAAGTTTTCGGTTCGGAAAATATTCTATAACTCATTCTGAAGAAAAAAGACGGTAAGTTTTATCAAGTATTAGTTGTTTATGGAGAACAACAAATTGTAAAATATGCAAAAAAACTGTTTTCAAGATGAAGAAATCAAAGCTGAAATTGGTATAAATAAATGGAGTCGCTATATCACTAAAATGAAATTTAAATATGTTTATTACTATTAGGAGAAAATTTTGAAAATCTGTTGGATTATACTTTGTGGCGCCCTGAGAAGGCGATTGAGCTACAGGTGATCTTAAAATTTCAAATTTTTCGAATTTATTTTACCTGATAATCAATATTACTACCACTAAAAATTGCTACCATCAAACATCTAAATGCAATTTTGTTCTGTGACTCATCATTGAAAATTCATTAGAGGTACGAATATTATTATTTTTTATTTTTTTATCAGAGGTTCTTTTTTGGTGTCAATGTGGCGAAATGTTAATTGTTAAGTTGTAACGTAAATGTCAAGAGAGGAAATATATAATTATGCATATAAATAAGAGTTTCCACGCGAAAGTGTGCTTTCCTTTTATTCTACAATTTTCTTCTCCATTTGAGTTTATGTAGGGACGTTGGAGTTTTATCTGATTTCCAGTACATGCATCAAAAACATACATGATTTCATTGAAATCATTTGCATCTACTATATAAACTACTTTTAGCAAAACCTGAACTTAGCTATAAAAATCAACATATGCGAATTTCGTAGTCATCCCTACCTCAATCGCTACTTTAATGTATGTTTCAACAGTTTTTAAAATGTTTCTCCAACTAATAAAAATTAGATAAGATCCGGGTCCTACCGCGGGACATTTACTTGAAATCATTATTTTTCTGTTGATAACAATGCACTTGTTAGATAAAAATCACCATACGAACGGCTCATAATCGCTTGCGGCAATGGCGTATTTTATCCTAGGGCCAAAAGAATCATGGCCCGGGGCGGCATTCTGCGAGAGGCGGATCACGCCGACTCAGTTATTTTTTTTTTATTTTTCCTTGAGAGATTCAGGGTGTTGAATCTTAAAATACGACACAGACCTTTGTGATATTTTCGGTGCCAAACATAGATGTTAATATGTGATGCATATGAATTCTCATCAATTTCACAATAACTACATGTAATATATGTGCAATACTTACTTGTGCACTAAGAGCGAAATCAGTACTCAACTGCACGAGAAATAGATTCCATTCACACAACGCAGAGGGCGGGTGTTTATATAAGATTTTTTCATAACTGCAGCAATACCCTTGTACAATTGATCATCAGGCCTTCCAGCAACATACTATGTAGCTCTAGAGTAACAAAGCTCATTACATTTGTGATCATTCCTTTTAAATCATAAACTTGGTGTACCAAAAACCGCGTGCAGTAACACGAACTTTTTTTACCGGTATTGTGGATTCAGCTAAATTATTGCAGATGTTTGTAAAATCTCATGTGCAAGTCAAACGCCTTTCTCAAATTATTGCCATATTTCTTGCGTAACAAAGTGGCAGTTTCTGCTGTTCTATTGTCATTCGCAACACCTCATGGAAGCATCCTACTGTCACGCCACTGAGTTTGTCTAGAAACTTTCGCTGCTCACACTGGGCCAGTTGGGTATGTTGGTGGCCCTGTAAACTGTGACTTTTATTTTAGGCCTGTCAACTACATCAAGTGTCAAGTTGGTAAAGTTGCATTTCATTTATCAAGACTGGAATTTTTCAATTACCTTGTTTTGCAAATATTTAAGGATCCACAGAGATCACTTGACTGTAAATAATATTTATCTTTTTGTATACTCGCTGGTAGTGTTTTTATAAATTAAAATATCATGCCTCAATACAAAGGTAAGTCTAATTACATTATCTTTACTCATAACCTATAAATTAGGAGGAAAAATTGTTTAGAAATACTGATATAGCTATTTTTATCCTAATGTATGCCTTTCACATTGGATTTATTAGTTAAGGACTAGAATGCTTCTTATTTTTTCTAGTCAAAGTCAAGTGGGGCAAGGAGTCCTTTCCAGACATTGAGGTAAATACTGAGGAGCCTCCAGAGCTGTTTAAAGCACAGCTATTTGCTCTGACTGGGGTTCAGCCTGAACGCCAAAAGGTAATGATAAAAGGCGTTACGTTGAAGGACACTGACTGGGATAATTTCAAATTGAAAGATGTAAGTTCAAATCATAAAACTTTTTAGCTTAAAATTGATTCTTGTCCCTGTATAATATGATTTATGTATGTAAAGTATTGTGTCTATGGTCTTGTATTAGTCATGGTTTAAAGACTCATACATTTCTTTTATATACTAGATTTGGCTATTGTCCAGATATTTTAGTAAGTCATCATTTCTTGTAACAGGTGTCTATTTTATCATATTCAATATTGTAAATAATGGTGTAGCCAAATTGAGATTAACTAACTTTTCAGTATTCTCCAGATTTTATGACTACATAATCAATAATTTTTATTAGAATTTGCTATAGCTAAAGTTTATTCAACTTTTCCCATATATTGATATAAATTTGTTCCACATTTTATACACAAAAATTATAAGCACCAAAAAGGTATGCTTTAAAATAACCCAACAGCAGGGGACTTCATGAGCATAAAAAAGAACTATGTATATTGCTTTTCATTCATAATTCTGCTTTCACTGATCCAGTATCTAAAACTTATGAAGCCTTTCATTCTTCCGGGTTATACTTTCATTGACATAGATGTATCAGGGATAATTAGTGATTTGAATGTTGTTCAGAAGGCATTGTAAGTAGTAATCTTATTTCAAAATTTCATGCTTTTGATAATCTTCCATTGCCACTAGATAGATGCTGAAACCTTACATAGCTTACATCATTTTTTATGCTACTAAAAACAATGTCTAAGTTTGAAATTCTTCACAATAGTTTACATACTATGGGAATGTAAACTTGTTGAGAACACAAATTAACAAGTGATGCTGTAGTCACTGTTTGCTTCTTTTGTTTGGTTTCCATTTTAAGGTGTGTTATTTGTTTAGGGGGTAACAATTTTATTGATGGGAAGCAAAGAGGAGGATGTGCCCAAGGAACCTGTAGAGAAAACTTTGTTTGTAGAGGACATGAATGAAAGTGAACTAGCATCAGCAGTAAGTTTTTTGTGTAGTGAAATTGCATATGGTTAAAACCAATTATATTATTTCAGTTGGAACTACCAGCTGGTTTAACAAATCTAGGAAATACATGTTACATGAATGCCACAGTACAGTGTCTGAAGGTGGTGCCTGAATTGAGAGAAGCTCTCCAGAATTTCCAAGGAGGTTAGTAGATTCCATTGACAATCCCCCATTTCTGTATTTCTTTGTTCTTTTTCTGTTTTTATTGTAATATGTCTCAATATTCTTGTTTCTTGTGAGAAAATAGCAAATTAATTCAAGTCTTCTAATTTCAAAGTCAAATTGACTAGGTATCATGCATCATATAGACCTCTACATCACAAACTACATAAAATATATCTTTTATGTTTGTTCCAATGGCAGACATATGTGTGATTATTATTGTATGCTTATTGCCCATACCTTTATCAACAACAGCAGCTTTTCAATAATGGAACATCTTTGTTGTTAAAAAAACATCTTAATCACACAAATGCATGATACTCATTTCTGTCAGTTTACCATTCTGTATCTGCCTCTGTGTCATCCTTTATGGGTGCATCACATTCATGTGCAGGGATGTTATTGATGATTTTCTGACCACCCTCCTATGAAATTGATGAAAGAAAAATCACTGAACACCTCAGGTAATTAATGGATGCCCCCAACATACTAACACATCTCCATCTGTGTGCAGCATTGCCATATTGTGAGATTTTCCCCAAATTTGTGGAATGTTTTAGGCAACAACTATGATTTTTTTTTTGAAGTTTCTATGTATTATTTATGTTAGTACAGTACTGTAAACACATATTTTATTTATAGAAATGTCACTATTTATTTTTTATTGAATATCTAAAAGTGCAAGGCCAGAGAGTTTTATTTAAACACGTGCTTCATAGTAACGTCATAACCCTCGACATTACAAACCACTGTCTGTCTCTGTTGAATGAACTCATGAAGGCTATATTTCAAAAGTTAAGTCTGTCTGTGGTCTAAGTACACGAGAAAATTGTAAAAACAGATTGATGAATAACTGTATTCTTATGAAGAGATCAAACAGCAAACTGACAGGTTGGCAGTCTATGACAGCGAGAACAAAGGCCTATCAATTTAAAATGAGACTGGTCACGTTACGCAAATGGCGTTGTTTTTTCCATTTTTTTTTTGTCAATTGAGGCGTGTTGTACAAAAACCGCATAAGTCCAAATTTAAAGAAATTGAGTTAGTGACACCATCTGGTACAAAAAAAGGATTTTTTTAAGACCTCCAAAATAGATTCTGCTAAAACGACATAAATGCTAAGATTTAAGTAGTCAAAATTTCGAGGTTTCCGCAAAAAGCACATATTTATGTGCCCTGCTGTTCATACAAATACCGCACAAGTTAGCGACAGGATAAGACATGTGTTCCTTTTGCTGGAAATTTAATCCTTTTTATATAATCATTTTGTTCTTTTTTGAAATAAAGGAAACATTTTTCGAACTTCGTCTTTTTTTTTTCATACAAAAACAACTTATGTCCAACAGTTTTTAATTGTTTTTATTTGATTACTTACATATTTTTTAGTGATGAGATTATTTTTAAGCTATTATTAATAGTGATTAACAAAAAAGTATTCAAGAAAATTATTACTTTTGAATTAAGTTGTTTTTCCTGTTTAATGCAAATTTTGTATTTTGGACATAATATGTTGTTTTTGTAAAACACGCCTCAATTAATACTTTATAGCACTTAAGTATTAAATAAGGTTCAAAATATCATTCTCCAGCAATATAGACTATAGATTAGAATTATTATATTATGTGAGTATACTTTTCTGGGGAATGCTTGGAAGGTAAATAAAACATCGGATATTTATTGGGTTATTTAATTTCATTTTTAACCAATTGAAACTAACTACATAAAACACATAAAACAAATCACACAGGCTCTCGATTGGGTTTAGTATTGGTCAGTAGTCCGGGTGTACCTATACCTGTTAACTTGCTCTACACTGTCTAGATGTAACAAAATATATGATGAGTTTTTGAATAAATATGGGGATAATTTTTATTGAACTATAATTGTGGGGTTTTTGGAATAAGCAGGTTGAACTTGTCCTGGGATAATTCTATCTGACTCATCTGTTTTTGTTTTTGCCTCTAGCTCTGGCGCGACTGGATTGATTTTGGCAATTATGTGAACTATTTTACCTGCTATCTACAAAGCGTTTTTGTCCTTGGCATAGTAGTAACCTTGAATGAGTGACTTGGTTTTTCGTGATGTAACACTCACGTGATATAAAAAAAAATAATGTTTGAAATTTCTGGCGATTACACTACTTCCTCGCCAACTGACGTGGGATGTAAAATGTGACGAGATCTAGGTTATAACAAAAAATAGAGCTTTTACAATATGTCTTTTCTTTGCAGGTGTTGCGACAGGGGGAAACGTAGTTCCGGCTCAGTCAATTACAGCAGCTCTCAGAGATCTTTATTCTAGTATGGATAAAGGTAATACAATACCACCTATTGTGCTGCTCCAAGTTCTTCATATGGCATTTCCCAGATTTGCTGAGAAAAACGAGCAGGGTGGTTTCTCCCAACAGGTATGCAGAATTGAACAAAACAGACATACCCATTATACATAGTTTCACAAAATTTGAAGTATGAGGTGAGACAGCACCACAAAGTACCTTCTATTACCAGAATCAAACACTACGATAGTTTTTTATTGGTACGATATAACAGTTACCGCTGTTCCCGCTAGATGCAACCGATTCTGGTTCTATAGTAGATACATATATACAGGGTTATCCAAATTAAGTGTCCACCATTAGTAACTTTGTTATTAGTGAAAATACAAAGTTGTTTGAATTAGCAAACTAGTAGCATTTTTAACGCTGGTAAAAATGAGAAATAAAAAAAAAAACAATTGAGAGTCGTTATTTTGATTTTTTTCAGTAAAATAACATTTTTTTAAATGGAAACCCCTGTATATTATATTTTTTTCTGTTAAAGCATCAAATTTTAAACAAAAAAGCTTACAATAACTTTTCTCCTAGGTTACAAATTGTTGAAGTTATGGCCTCCAATCTGAAACAATTAAATTGTATCGACAAACTTTATTTTCAACATCAACTTATAATCTTACAAAATACAATAACAATTTTTTTTAAAGAAGATGCTCGAAAACACCACCTTGTTCTTCAATACATTTTTGGGCACGTTTTTCAACTGCTCGAACTGTCTTAAGTATGGTCCTACCATCTATCTGGGTTATCTTTTCCCTAACTGCAGTCTTTAACGCGTCAAGGTTATCGTACCTTCGCTTGTAAATTTGGTTCTTTAAGTAACCCCACAAGAAGTAATCAAGTGGGTTTAGATCTGGTGATCTGGGAGGCCACTGTATTGGGCCATTTGTTCCTATCCACTGATCATTAAAAGTAGTACTTAGAAAATGATAAGTACCTCTGGAGTTGTGGGCAGGTGCGCCATCTTGCTGAAAATGCAGATGATGTCTACTTATAAGATCCAATTCGTCTAAGGAATTAGTCAGAATTTCTGACATAAATTCCACATATCGTTCACCAGTTAGGGTTCCCTCATAAAAGAACGGGCCAACAATTTTTGAACCAATTATACCGCACCAAACGTTGAAACTGAAACGGACTTGTGGGCCTCTTGGATGTACTAACAAAAGATTTTCTCTTGACCAATAATGGTGGTTTTTTCTATTAAACATTCCAGAATTTGAAAAATTTGATTCATCTGTCCATAAAAGGTAACGAAAGTTATTTACATTTTGGCGACAGAAGCTAAGATACCAATGGCAAAAAACAAGTCTTCTCTCTGGATCCCCTGCCAAAAGCGTTTGAACTGGTCGGTACTTATACGGAATAAATTTGTATTTTTTTAAAATCCTTTGTAGTACCATAACTGAAATTAGAGTCCTTGAGAATATCTGCTATTGAATTCTCACGATAAGCTTCAAAATATCCAATAACTGCAATTTCCGTGGCCTCGCTTATTATGAATTCTTTTTTTGCCCTTGTTTTAGCAAAAACATTTTCGTTGCCCCTAAATTTTCGATAAAGTCTCAGAAAATATCGTTCATACGGTTGAATGCGAGCGGGATATAATTCACTGTAGTATTCTCTTGCTCTCAAGGAGGATTTTCTGCACACTAAATAGCATTCTAACATATCACACTTTTCTTCATGGGAGAACATTTTTCTTTAAATTAATGACACAATAAAGCTTATAAACAAGTATTTACACTAATGTTTGACATTATTTGATTTTATCATTGTTTTCCAAAGCCTTCTAGTTGCGAGTATGTCCAGTTTAACAATTTGTCGCTTATCTTAATGCTGTCAAATCGCGAACGCCATGTTGTTTTCATAGTCGTCTTAATATTATAATACTGCAAATAATTAAAAATATTTATCGTTATTTTGACTTTATTTTTGACTTTAGCGGAAAAGTCATTATGAACTTTTTTGTTTAAAATTTGATGCTTTAACAGAAAAAAATATAATATACAGGGGTTTCCATTTAAAAAAATGTTATTTTACTGAAAAAAATCAAAATAACGACTCTCAATTGTTTTTTTTATTTCTCATTTTTACCAGCGTTAAAAATGCTACTAGTTTGCTAATTCAAACAACTTTGTATTTTCACTAATAACAAAGTTACTAATGGTGGACACTTAATTTGGATAACCCTGTAGTGGTGACCCGGCCGACAATGTGAACTGAGATACTCTGGATAGAGGATAGTTGCTCAGCTTTTGTTCATTGTTCATACAAACAAAAGCTATATTTCTAGTTAATTTTAATATGTTGCTTATATATCTCAACTTCAAGTTAGACTTATTACAGTAGTTCCACCAAGCTCTCAGTATGAGCATGGATACAAAAAATAAAAAGCATGTTAGTACAAAGCATTGTATCCTTATTATTGTTGATTATATTATACAGTGCTTTTCAAAAAGGTCCCCCTACTTATTTTTTGAATGAGTGAAGTTAGCTAGCTGAAATTCGGTATTGTGATATTATTGCATGAATACTAAAGGGTTGTCCAATAGGGACACAGGAAAGTAAACGTCAATTTGACATAGACGCCATCTTTGTTTTCTGTCACCGACATGTCATTTTGTTAGTTGAATGTTTACCATTGATCGCTATGGAGTCGTATTCGATTGAAGACCGCATTAAAGTTATTCAAGAGCACTACAAAACTGGTGCAAAAATAAAAAACACGTTTCGCGCGCTTCGTGAACATTTCGGTCGCAACAACCGCCCAAACGAAACAACCATCGGTCGTCTGGTGCGTAAATTCGAGGCAACAGGTTCTGTGGCAAATCTGCCAGGCTCTGGCCGGCCAAGGAGCGTTCGCACACCGGAAAATATTGCTGTTGTGAAGGAGAGTGTGAGAGACGATCCGAAACAATCAACAACGCGTCGATCCCAAGAATTGGGCATTTCGAGAACCAGTTTGCTCCGCATTCTCCACAAGGATTTGAATGTACACGCCTACAAGATCCAATTGACGCAAGAGCTGCGTCGGGCCGACCATTTTTCGCGCCGAACGTTCTCAGATTGGCTCCTTGAACACCGCCAAATTGATGCCAATTTTTCATCAAAAATCATGTTCAGCGACGAAGCGCATTTCACTTTGAAAGGGACGGTAAACAAGCAAAACTGCCGCATCTGGGCGAACGAAAATCTCCGTGAGTATCAAGAGCAGCCGATGCATGCTCAAAAAGTGACTGTGTGGTGTGCATTGTGGTCAAAAGGCATCATCGGACCTTACTTTTTCGAAAATGCGGCCGGGGACGCCGTTACCGTCAATTCTGAGCGATATCGCGTGATGATAGAGGACTATTTTTTGCCGCAACTTGAAGGAATGGATATGGACGATGTTTATTTCCAACAAGACGGTGCAACATGCCACACAACCAACGTCAATATCCATCGATTGCAGTCCTTCTTCGGTGATCGCGTGATTTCGCGCAGAGGAAATGTGCCATGGCCACCATGATCGTGCGATTTGACTCCCTTGGACTTCTTTTTATGGGGATATTTTAAAAGCAAAGTCTACGTCAACAAACCAGCCATCCTCCAAGAACTCAAAAACAACATCATTGCCGAGATAAATGCCATAGAACCGAGCATGTTGCAAAATGTCATTGAAAATTTCGACCATCGCGTGGACGTCTGTAAATCCAGTCGCTGTGAACATTTGAGCGATATTATTTTTCATACATAAATGGTATGAATGAACCTTCAAAATAAAGTACTCAACTTGATTTGAGTATCAATCTTTGTTGTTTCAATATGCGTTTACTTTCCTGCGACCGTTTTGAACAACCCCATATTTAGCATATAAGTGACAACTCAAAATTTCATCATACCACCAACTTTTTAAAAGGAATGATGAGTCATTTTCAAGATCGTTATCAGTACTTTATAACCCTAAGGTAGAAATTGACTGTCTTCTAAAATGACATACTTGCGGCTGTCATTCAATCACTTATGACTCATCAACCAACCACCAAAACGATATGTTATATAAATCTTCTTTTTTGGGAATGATTTATCCAAATGTGTAACTAAACACAAGATATTCCATTTATAAAATGTCAAAACATGACATTTTATTGCACATTTAGATAGAACATCCTGAAAGGAGATTGATATGGCGTACTGTAGCATTTTTATGCTTAGTTGTTGAGTTAAAAGCCATTCAGTGTACAAAAACGCTCAACGTCATTTTGGAATATAGTAAATTTATAGAGCACAGCTCAAAAAAATAAGTGAGAGGAGAGCTTTTTGAAAAGCACTGTATACTAAATTGCATATTTTATAATTTTGTAGGATGCCAATGAATGTTGGACAGAAATGATAAGGATGTTGCAGCAAAAGTTGCCAGCAAAAAAATCTGAAGGAGACAATTCCCAAGATCAGAGCAAGTGTGTATTTATTACAAATGTTAACATAGTTCAAAATCATATTGTATCTAGATTGTGTAACTTAGAAGAGGCTGGCATGGCTATAACATTCCTAGTTCCATTGATTAATTATTCATAAGGAAAGAAACAAGATCGTGTTATATTATTGTTTTGTAATTTCAAAATTTTAATTTACATATGTTTGTCTTTATCGTTGATAAAAATATGAGAGACATTTTACTTCATTCCATCATTCTGGTACATATTTGCTTTACAATCAGAAAAAGGTAAATATTAACTTACATAATTTTAGGTCTCTGATAGACCAGTACTTTGGAGGAACATTTGATGTTGAATGGAAGTGTGTGGAGGCTGAGGATGAGCCTTTGACAAAAAGTAAGGAGCAGTTCTTGCAGCTTAGTTGTTTCATATCACAAGAAGTTCGTTATATGCATTCAGGACTGAAAAATGTAAGTTTCTATTTGCTAATTTCTTGTAACATCCCTAGTCAGTCTGAATGATAAATAAACATTGATGTACAACATAGCATATAATAACAAATAACATATCTATAAATGGTTGTCTTCAAAATTCTAATTTAGTGTGATTCAGGAAGCAAACTAACAAATATTGTTTTTTATAAGTGACTCACTTTTTATCACTTTATTCGATCCACCTCACTTTTACTTACTTTTCATTGAAAATCTTTACTTTCCTCACTATTTTACCTCTCGCCTGTACATATTGTAACTTATGGACGTTTTCGGGGCCGCTACCCCCCCTTTTCTCAAGCCACACAAAATTAAATGAACATTTAAATTAAATAGGACCATGTTGTACATATAGAGAGTTCTTCTTCCCAAGCTGAATTACATGAGAAGCTTCTCGGATTATTTGAAATTACGTTGAATTTTAACTTAGCTTTGCTAAAAGCACTATATGTGTAATGTACGGAGTATTCAAATCCGAACCCCCAACAGTGGTATCTCGGAAACTGTAAGCATTACAATACAAAGCGTTTATGGGAGCAAAGTTGTATATTTAGGAAGCTGTGAAAATGGTTCCTTGACAGTTTGGCAATTCAGAGTATTTCCGAAGATATGCGGAATAACCGGGTTTATCCTCAATCACATTCATTTTTTCTTGGCTGAATTTGTTGTGGGATTTCAATATAAATTGCATCTACTGTGGAACATTTAACAAGAAACTTGACCTGTTAGTTTCTTGGTTAATTAGTATGTTAGTTTATGTTTTTTTTTTTTGAAAATGATATATTACAAAAATAAGTATTACATGTGTATCTACTTTTGTGGTAGCATATGTGCATTCATTTCGGGCCTGATGAAGCCAACAAGCAGAAATACGTATTGCTCGGGTTACCTATCCTATTTTCTGCTCAAATCCACTTTACTTGTTTTTGCGGATTTTCCTATGTTATATACCTTTCTCCGCATGATCATTTTCTCTCTATATATAGTTAGGTGAGAAAAGCTTCAGCCTTTAGTTGGTTACTTTGACAAGAATAAAGCAATGAGAACTCTTTTTACTTTATAATCTCAAGCATTCGATGAACTATGCCAACATCATCAGGAATAACATTTGGAGAAAATAGCATCTGCATTGCAAAATGGATTTTACATTACTTACAACAGTATGTGAGATTGTTAATAATGGTTATGGTGATGGAAATATTTAGTAGCCTGGTGAAAGCTGAACCCATGGTACAGTTGTTAAAAATACTAAAAAATGCACAGCTGTATGTCAGGAGCACGTCACAACTGATTAAAAATTGTTTGGAGTGGATATAAATATTACATCGTGGATAAGCACCTGTTACTGTACAAAATGGTGCACGACACCGGAATTTTCGGAAAACAAAAATCAAATTCAAGCGAATAACCAAATGAAAATTATATTTACCATTATGGATTTTTGGGAAACTTGATACAGGCAGACTTCAGTTTTAGCATAAAGTAGAGCACCTTCTTAGTTATACTCATTACGTTGTAGGGGACACTTTAAATCTAGTTCCTATGCTTATCAAACTCTCCTGTGTTGCCATATACCACAAGAATATTACAATATGGCGATGTAAACTCACTGGATACTTTTTTCGTCGCTTTTTTCTACCATCATAGCTTATAGGCGTTATATCTTTTATTTTTACGACAAACTTGTTTAAAAGTAAACACTTCTCCCATTAATATTACGAAAATTTTCTTTTTTAAACTTTCCATATCACTGCTGTAGATGAAAAAGCACCGATTTATTAAGTAATAATAAAAATAATGAGAAATTATATACCCACTTTTCTAAATAAACAACTTGCAACAATACCGCGGTTAAAACCAACGCGTTCAAGCGATTCGAATAACTGGCGTCTCAACTCGTGTGTCATCTTAAACCACATTATAATCGCGGTAAATAACACAGAAATTGTTGTTATTCCCTTGGATTTGATTAAAAACTCATGACAGCTGACACACGGCTGATGGTGGTCGTGCCGATGAGAGGAACAAATGTGTGTAAGTTTTGTGCTATGTTGTCAAATCAACTTAAAAAAGTATGTTTTTTCAAGAAATGCCAAACTAAAGACTTATCGACAAACCAGAACCAGTTGAAAAAACTTTATTATGATGAGTTAGGAAACTGAGTTAATAATAATGTATTATGAGGAAACGATTATTATTATATAACGAAGTAGACAAAACATATACAATTTATGGTTGTGAAGAATCAAAATTTGGTGAGATATGCAAGTGTTCTAACTTTTCGCACTTTAACAAATATGAGTAAATGACGCTAAGTTGCTTCACATCTGCCTTTTTGTTCATGCAGTTCTAATTCATGAAAGCTGAACCTTTTCTCACCTAACTGGTTGTTTAGACGGCAATGACCACGGCTCAAGTTATATATAGATTGATAAAAAACCTAATTAGCAAAGTGACATCATCCTAAATCCAATATGGTGGCGGCCACAAATCGCGATTTATAAATAATTTCCATAGTCACCCCTATGTGCATCAAATGAAAGGGCTTGATTAGAGAAACATAATAGGCAGAGTCACGTCGTTCGTAATCCGATATGGCGGACATCCAATATGACAATGCAATATTATTATGACATGGAGATGATCTGTTGATGGAGCCAGGAGTTGACCCTGGGAACTCTGTAATGAGTCAAACCATACCCCATTGGATAGTGCCTCATTTGATTCTTGATCACAAGTATTCCAGTACGACACTCTTTTGATTAGGTTTGACAACCGTTGTGTAAAAAATACACATCTGTAACAAACATATTAAACAGCTCTTTAACATCAGATAGCTTACTAAAATGTAGGTTCGATGAAGTGAGCAAGCATACCTAATAGATATAAGTATTCTTGGATTTGCAAGATATATTATATTTTTTGTTTCTTTTATGCATTTGATTGCACGCTTATAAATACTTCTTTCAGTTTTCAGCTATAAAACATTGACAAAGATCTTGTAAGAGTTATTCGCGTTTTTTTCCCAATTTATTTATATTTCTCAGAAAATGAATTCACTTTTTTGTATAAACTCGCTATTTCTCACTATTTTGTCTCTATTGTTTTTTTGAAAAACTCAATGGTTACAAAGTTATCTTCAAGAGTGCATATTCTTCTTTAATTGTTCTTCACTTTAGCAAAATCGCCATCATTAAAAACTTTTGTGCTTTTTCAGAAACTGCAAGAACAGATAACAAAAAAATCGCCAACGTTAGAAAGGAATGCTGTATATATAAAATCAGTAAGTTCATCATTTTGTTTTGTAGGATAAATGATCTACAGCATTTAGTTGTAATCCGTACATATTTAGAAGTATAGCATAGTAATCAATATTCACTGACACTTCAGATCAGATAACATATATTAACCATAATTAATGTCATAATCAAACCATTTGCTACATAGTGGTAATCTGACCCAACCCGTCATTTATCTTTCAGTCCAAAATTAGTCGATTGCCAGCATACTTGACTGTTCAGTTTGTAAGGTTTTACTATAAGGAGAAAGAATCGATAAATGCAAAAATCTTAAAAGACGTTAAGTTTCCTCTAGACTTTGATGCATTTGACTTGTGCACTTCAGAATTACAAGAGAAATTGGCACCAATGAGAGCTAAATTTAAGGTAAGTAACAGTAACTATAAGTATAAATAAGGTTACTAGTAATTTGCCATATTTACTTGGTGAGATAGGGGACGTCAAATGAAAGTTTCATCTGGTTTGTGTATGGGCGGAAAACAATAGTTTTCGAGATTTTATAATTTTGATATGAATTCGAATAGTTTAAAAGGAGCAAAATATGTTATGTGTTTACATTGCATTGTTTGTTGCCAACATTGCTTAGTTTTAGACTTGACTCATTAGACTATCATTGTCACTGCAACAACGTTGTATCAACATAACAATACCTACTGGTCGGAAAATCTGTATTCATTAGGCTTGTGCTACCCTTTGCAAATTATGCAAAAAGTATCATGGCCTGAAATCGTCTAACATCACAAGTATATGCAAACATTAGCAAAAACTAATAATGTCTGAACTGTCAGAAAATTAACTTATGCCAAAGCCACCTTCATCCTGGCGACAGACAGAGATTTTAGAGACATACTAATCGTAAGCATGATCCTTCTACCTGGTCTGAATTCTTTGGTTGAAACTGAATTTCACTTGTGACTATCTGTTTGTATGTAAGATCTCAAAAATATCAAGATCATGAAACATTTTTGCTTGTAACGGTTTCTTGATGTTTTGAAATGCTTGTAAAATCTATTTTGATAACCAGAAACTATGGATTCGTTACGATAGGTATACAGGGTGAACCAACCGCGCGTGAACGGCATATTGCTCGTAGACTTTCATCATAAAACTTTTAGCAATTGTTGTGGGGAGATATCGTCATAATATTCACAATTATACAGTGTGTGAGTGTGTCCCGTTCTTGAGCTACACGTCAAACTTGCATTTTTGCCCTTTTTTTTGTTCCATATTTTATTTGGATTTATCATTTTTAATGATGAACATTGATATAACATACTTATTGGTTTTGGCGGTTGTCGGTTAGTTGTAGGGCTTTTGAGAATGTTTAATAAAATACCAAAGTTTGGCAACCTACACCTCCGGCGATTTTATAGATGGAATAATACTGATACTCAATACTTTTTTGGAAAGATGACTAACCGGGCAAGTTTTCCAGTTTGTATCGTATGTTCATTTTCTCACCAGTTTTTTGAGCTAGACAAAATTTAGGAAAAGGAAAACCAAAAACGACAAGTATTTCATCTTTCTAAATAGTTTTTGTTTTATTGTGTGAGATATAAATTAATTGAATGCTCATGCATTTCTCACAAAGATTCTTTATTATTTAAATCCAAATGCCCAGTTTCGGGTGGTTGTTGAAAAATCGCAAAGATCGAAATCACCCTGTAAGAAATATGGCGAATTACCAGTAAACCTGTATAGTTGAACAGCACTTTTAACGCCATGCTCAAATACTATACCAACGCATATACAGTGAAAGCTCTCCTTGCGGACAGCAGCTCCTATAAGCGGACATCTCTTTTAACCGGACAAAGTTCCTGGAACCGAATTTCAGCCATCAATTTTCAATGTTAAATGCATTCCGATAAACGGACGCTCTTATAAACGGACGCGGACACTAGATTTTCCTGTATGTGATCAAAAAATCTCCCATAAGCGGACGCGAAACTCTAATACCCGGACGATTTTTTAGTTCCGCTTATTGCAATGCACATATCTACATACATAAAATTCGGTAATTCCCCGATTTATATTAGGTGATTCTCCATTTACGCATTTCGTTGGGTAGCCTGTATGTAATCTTGTGGCTTGTCTTCAGTTCAGGCAAATTCGTAGTTGATTGAGTTACGTATTTTATTATTGTAACTGTAAAATGGCACCAAAAGAAAGGATGCTCTCGTTAAAGGAAAAGATGGAAGTTGTTAACGTATTAGACAGAGAAAGTGTTTCAGTTCGTCATTTGGCAAAGAGGTTTAATATTGGGAAAACGCAAGCAGCTGAAATTGCCAAAAATAAGGAAGATATCAGGAGTAAATGGCAATCAGGAACTAATATAAATCAAAAGAAGGATTTTTTAAAAAAGGAAGGTTTTGCTATAGACAAAACATGTTTTGAGTGGTTTGTGAAAGCTATAAGTCAGAACATTCCAATCTCAGGGCCGTTAGTGAAAATGAAAGCTAATGAAATCGCCACTACTTTGGGCTATAATAATTTCAGTGCGTCCGACGGGTGGCTGCAAAAGTGGCGCAAGAGACATAGTGTGAGTTTCAAATGCATATCTGGCGAAGCTGCTGCAGTAGATCAAGTTGATGTGTCACAATTTTTGGAGAAACTTCCGTCCATGTTGCTTGGCTACAAACCAGAAGATGTGTACAACGCAGATGAGAGTGGACTTTTTTTTCGCGCATTGCCCGACAAAACTCTGTCCTTTAACGGAGAAACATGTGTGGGTGGAAAGTTGTCTAAAGATAGACTAACCATTTTATTCTGTGCAAATATGGCCGGTGAAAAATGCGATTTGATTGTGATCGGGAAAGCGGCTCGTCCCCGTGCTTTAAAAAACGTTGCTATTAAGGATCTACCAGCGACTTGGAAATCCAACAAAAAGGCATGGATGACCCGAGAAATCATGTCTGAGTGGTTAGTCGAATTCGACCGGAAAATGAGAATCCAAAAAAGGCAAGTTCTTTTATTTTTAGACAATGCATGCTCTCATCCCCGTGATATGAAAATGAAAAATGTGAAAATTATATTTTTACCGCCAAACACAACTTCTGTTTGTCAGCCCATGGATCAAGGTGTCATACAGAACTTTAAATTTTATTATCGGCACTTGATTTTAAAACATATTTTAACAAAAATTGACGATGGTCAAAGCTTATCTGAGCTTACAAAGTCTATCAATGTGTTAGAAGCTTTGTAAATTATAAAAACAGCATGGAATAAAGTAAATTCCTCTACAATTAAAAACTGTTTTGGCAAAGCTGGATTCAGAAAAAGTGAATGTAGCTCAGAATTTGCTGAGCAAAATTATTACGATGCTGAAGACGATCTGCCCTTAGCGACACTTGCTCAGTTACTGCGACATGCCAAACATTTAGGAGTAGCAGATCCCCAGAAAGTAGATGATTTCCTGGCCATAGACAATAACATAACAACAGAAGAAAATGCCATTGGCAACTTTTCGAATTTGGATGTAGAAAGCCCAGGCCAACTTGAATATGGTAGTCCAAACGACTCAGAAGAAGAAGTGGAACTGGTGGACTCACTAAGCGGTTCAAAAACGATAAATTCATATGGGGAAGCTCTAAATCATATTTCTATATTGAAAAAATTTGCTAAAGATGATTTCACTGCATTTCAACATTTGAAAAATTTAGAAAGTTATTACGAAAATTGTCTCCTTCAGCAAAAGATGGTGAAATTTCGTCAGACAAACATTTTAAACTTTTTTCAACAAGCTAAAGAATAATGTTTTTTTTTAAATTCTCGTACCATGTATTGAAGCATTTATGTTTTTGTATGCGTATATGTACATATATATTATATAGATATATAGCATAAATACATACTTTAAAAATGTGGCGAGTTATATACACCAATGTCTTAAGGGAACCGAGACAAAGGGCTCTGCAACATCAAAAATATCTGAATACCGTCCTGTAGCCGCGACATCGCGGAGTGGTACAATGTCACTGGCTCAACCCGACGACAGAACTGGGTCGGGGTCAGTGTGTCAGGTCAGTATGCAACCTTCATCCGACGGTTACGGTTACGCCTGTAGAGGTAATCGCGTAGACGAGAATCCCTCAACAAGCACTAGAGACGTGGCTAGAGAAGTGCAAGTATCAAAAACTAAAGTGTGGCAATCGCTGCGTGAAGTGGGGCTGTATCCGTTTCACGTCCAACGTGTACAAGCCCTTCAACCTGACGATTTTCCAGCAAGAGTGCGGTTTTGTGAGTGGTTGTTGCATCAACATGACAATAATCCGGACTTTTTGAAGTGCATATTGGTGACAGACGAATCTACATTCACGCGTAATGGGGTGAATAACTTTCGCAACACTCATGTTTGGTCAGTAGAAAATCCGCACGCTGTCCGTCGGGCACATTTTCAACAAACATTTTCGGTGAATGTTTGGGCTGGCATGGTGCGTCTGCTCGGTAGCGCATCAGCTGATTTCATTTTCTGTTGGAGCGGTATGATTTCGGGCAGAGACGTACTTAGCCCTTCTCGTCAACTGGAGAGTGAGTACTTTTTCCTTTATTTTTTTTACTTGGTCGCCCTCGTTTCACTACACATTACCTTCGTTATTTCAAGGGTAGTTGTTTCTGAAAAGGAAAACCCCAACTTTGCGGACACCCTGTATATATACACGTTTTAAACGCTATCAGTTTGAAAAGCTGTATGTAGAAGAAAGAAAAAAGTACCTGAAGTAGACCTTTTGCACCTTACTGCTGATGCGGTTCACGTGACGGCGTACAATAGCCACTTAGCGTGTAGTTTTTGAAACAACTACTTTGCGTTTACTTACTCGTTATTGTCTATAAAACCGTGTTATTCTGCCCAGAAATGCAGAACTTATGAACTGCTTAGTAATCAAACGATTTATTCTACGCTTTTTCAGCACATTAATAATAATTTTATTCACGTCAATTACAAATTGTGAATAAATTGATATGCCACAAAAGGAAAATATCCTTGTGTGTGGATATCATTCTAACACAACATACCCATATAACATAATAGTTACAATAAATTGATTGGACTAAAAAAATCTACATAATATAAATGTAATACATTACTTTTGTATCGTAGATTAGCAATGAAGAAAATATATTTATATTTTAGCTTATTATAAATTACATCATGATTATATCAGTATTCAATAGCCAGTCCTATAAACCTATTTTTAATAATGATATTCAGTTCTTTTCAATATATTTTGGTAAGTTATGATACAATTTTGGACCTAAATATATAAAAGATTTCATCATGTCCTTTTTTAGTGTTGCAATAATTCTAATTTAACATTATAGCAAAATAATTTTATATATCTAAAATTTTTGATTCTTTAAATCGCAATTTGGATGGATATAATAAAGGTTTGTTTTGAATTGATTTTATTAATATTTTTTGTATTATTTGTAAAGAATTTACATGGTTACTATTCGTGGTTTCCCAGATAGTAATTCCATAGGTTATGTGGCATTCAACTAATGTTTGATATACAATTTTTAATTGACTTAAGATTGTCCAGTACACTAATTTTCTAAGGCAACGTGGAAGTGTCCGTATTAGAACATTTTTTGCATAATGATGTGACATGGGCTTCACAGAATCAGCAAAAATTGCTTAGAACATAAATCGCAAAAATATATGAAAACTTATTAATTCGAGCTTATTCTAGGAACTTGAAGATAATCAGATAGAACAAGCAGCCAAGCTCAAAGAAAATAACAAGGGTGATGGCAAAAGTAAAGATGAAAAGAAAAAGTATGCTCCTTACTGGTTTGAGGATGGTAATTAATCTTTATAAACATCTTTTACCCGCGCACAAGGGCCATCCTTCTACAGGCTCTTCATTTATTAGTCCTCTATAAAATTTTATGTGTAATGGATGTGTATTTTGGAGATTCCTACTAACTAAACTTATGAAACTAAAATATTTTTCGATTTTAGATTCGGGTAGCAATAACAGTGGTTACTACACACTGCAGGCAGTGTTGACACATAGAGGAAGATCATCATCAAGTGGACATTACGTTGGTTGGGTCAGGCAATCTGAAGATAACTGGATAAAGTGTGATGATGACAATGTATCCCCTGTCACAACTGACGACATTTTAAAACTCTCTGGTGGAGGTAAGAGAGTAAAGAAGGGGATATCATACTCGGTTCTTTGCCATCCACGCTTGACCGTACGAGTTTTATGATGGATTGGGTTCATCACGTGATTAGAGCTGTGGCAATCTATTTTCCACGATACGTTTTACCGTCTATTGAAGTGAACAACTGTTCAGCAAGTGATATATTTGCATTAAATCTGTACTGTCGGCAACAATGAATCTCGAAAAAACTCAGGATCATAATCAGAACTGTTAACACCAAAGACTGATGATTTTTCTCACATACCTGACCTGAGATTTTTGGGAGAAAAAATAATAACTTTGGATTTAGAGGGATTCAACCGGAGACTATGTTCTCTTGCATGATTTTCAGAAGAATGTAGGTCCTCTATTATTTCAGCTTCCGAAATTTCTAAATTTTCATGATTGAAGCTATGATATAATTGTGAGTCATCAGCAAAAAACTTAATACCACAAAATTTCACATCCCTGTTTATACAGGGTTTGGCATAGGAACCAAGTGTTTATATTAAATTTATAATCGCAGGGATACCTCGAGTACACTATGTCCGATCCTACTTTTAGTTTGTATTAAAAATTTATTAAATTTAAACGTAAATGGTAAATTCATAGTTTTTGCTGACGACAGATATATGTAAATCAAATTTGGTCAAATGTTGACAGTAATATACAACCCGCCAAAAAAATGTTGTGACAACAATTTCTTAACTTCCAATGTTATTAAGACCAAATTTATGACATTTAAATGCTCCCTTGGTTTTATAATTTGAAATAATGATTTGATACACAAAACGGACAAGATCAAATGTTTAGGACTGAACATTGATCGTAAATTAAATACTCAGTCTAGACCAACGGGGTATTTTACAAAAAAAAGTTGAAGTTCTGTATGTAAAAATGTATATTGAGTCATTCTTTGAACAAGAAGTTACAAAAACACCGCTTCAAAGATTAAAAATAAAATTTGCCGCCAATTATGTGACGTCATAATATCTGGCTCTTCATTTGTCCGACGATTACAGTGTGACAAGGATAAGAGGATATTCCCATTTTGTTTATACAGAATCGTCCGTAGCTATTTGCGTTCTGTGTCTGCTTTTTTGACAGATAATAATGTTATGATGCATTGTGGCGTTGTTGTTGACGCTTTGGTATTGTGATTTTGCTTGTGCAGCGTGGTGCAGTGACTGATTTGGAATTAAGCTTTACAAATACACAATAAAAATATGGAATAAAACTTCGTGAAAACCGATTTTTTCGAATTTACCGAAATGTAAAGGTTACAAGTGAGGTTACAAAGCGCATAAGACAAAATCAACAACACAAAGCACGAAACAAAAACAGGCTGCGCCACTCTGTCACTGTCAAAAGTCAACGGTTTGACCCTTGTTGAACGACACTGTTGCCAAATTGTGTCGACGTACAGATATATATATATACATATATAGACAGGTACACCATTAGACAACTCTGTTGATCGGAATAAAGAAGCGCTGCTAAATCGTGAACTTTCATGAAATTTCTTAGTACATGGCAATAGCGCTGAATATGATCCTTGATAAAAATATTGTCACAGTCTAATGAGGACCAATAAAAAAATTGATACCTATTGGCTGATTTATTCGGAGGGACATACAAGAGGTTTAAATGATCTCACTTTGGTGGTATGAATTTCAAATGTATTTTTTCAGCAAATGAGTCAAAAAAGCACGAGCAAAGTATATGTAATAAACAATATATTTCGGGCATCAATATGACAATATCACTAAGTTGGGAAATACCCCATTGCTTACTTAACTACAAAGACTTCCTTTATTATAAGAACAATTAGTTACGACGTAAGGAAAAGTATAGCCTTAAGCAGTTACTTTGCCTTATTTGAAAGTAGATTGAGATATAGCATTCCCTTTTGGTGTATCTGTTCCCAAAATTGTTCAAAAAAGACCGTGAAACAAAATATTAGATGTATAACGAAAAACAATTCTAGAGCTACATGCAGGCCTTTGTTTTAAATATTAGAATAATGACTGTCGTATTATGTTTTTTTAGGAACAGCAACTCTCGTTTTTAAAGATAAGTCAAATTTTGAGACATAATAATGATAAGAAACGACTTTTATTTCTGGCGAAGTTTAGCTGCAAGCTATTCTACCACTTAACCCTTGAAAATAACTGGCATTATAATATTGGAAACAATTTTAACAAAATATTCTTCCAAAATTTGAAAAAAATTACATATTGAATACAACGTACACATGAGTTTACACAAAGAAAGCTAAAAAACTAAAAACGATTTATATATTTTGCAGAAATATGGCTGTACTATATACTAGGGGTTTCAGATTTGAGCATCAAAGATAATCTGTTTAATTTGCTTTTTGAAATCAAGATGTTTAGCAGTCGACGGTAATGCATTATATAGATTGATGGCATTAAAGGTAAAGCATTTATGAAATAAAGAACTTATAGTTACTGCCAGTGAATCGAATGTGGAATTCATGAGATATCAATTTATTTTTCAAAAATGGGAGAATCGAAGTACGTAGGAGTTTGTGAACATTGCATAATAAATTAAGCTTATGCTATTTTGCAACATTCAACCAGTTGAAGAATGAAGGCTAATTCTAATGTCATTTAGGTTTTTCGGGCTGTTGTGCCGTGGTCGGGTTTGATTTGGTCCAAAGCTTTCGGCTACATCTGCGGTAGCTAACTTCAGTAGCGCTGTCAGCGAGAGCGAAGTGCTCGGCTTGGCGGGACGACTGAAACTGATCGGTCAACTGGATGGGCGTGCGGTTTTATAGGTGATCGGCGGACTGAGCTGTCTGGTGGGGGTACTCTGGGTCCCTTGAGTGACGTGTTTTTGCGCTGTGTTTTTTAGAATTCTGGACCACGTTTTGTTCAAAGCAAGGCCTTCTCCATTTCTATTGAAATTATCATTGAGTTTGTAGATTGCAGATTTCAATTGCTTCTCTGTACATTCGGGCTGAGTAGTGGATGGATGTTGATAGGACTTCAGTTTGGTCGAACAGAACATTTTGGCCGTCTTGGAGTGCGTGTTCGGCCACCGCTGATTTATCAGTTTCTTTCATGCTCCTTGATGCGTGTTTGGAAGCTACGTTTACTGGTGCCTACGTATACTTTACCACAGGAACACGGTATTCTGTATACCTCGGCACCGCTCAAGGGGTCCTTTACTGGTGTTAGGAGCTGGATTTTATTTGTCAGCTTGTAGATGGTCTTGACGTTGTGTTTCTGCAGCAACCTTCCTATTCTATCCGTAATGCCTTTAATGTATGGTAGAAAGGAGACCTCCGTAGGTGGTTCCTTGTCTCCTCCAACCAACATCCTGGACAAAAAAGAGGTGTCATTAAAAATCTGATAGATAGGGTACACCGAATTTGTGAACCTCAATACCTGCAGGGGGAACTGGATCATGCTAACATGGTTTTACAAGCAAACGGCTATAGCAGGGAACAAATAGATCAGGTTTCACGACAAAAAAGCAGACCGCCGGCAGGAGACAAGAAACTACCTACGAGAGTCTCCTTCCTACAAACACAATGATAATTTCAATAGAAAAGAAGAAGGCATTGCTTTAAACAAAACGGTGTTCCCAATTCTAAAAAACACAGCGCAATAACCACGTCACTCAAGGAACCCAGAATACCCCCACCAGACAGCTCAGTCCTCAGTCCGCCGATTGCCTATAAAACCGCACGCCCATCCAGTTGAACGATAGTTTCAGCCGATCCGCCAAGCCGAGCACTTCGCTCTCGCCAACAGCGCCACTGAAGATGGCTACCGCAGATGTAGCCGAAAGCTCTGGAACAAATCCAACCCGACCACAGCTCAACATCCCGAAAAACCTAAATGACATTCAACCAGTTGTAAACGTTTTGCTGAAACTGAATCTAAAAATGGATAGTATACTAAATTACAATATGTGATTTTTGATATTATTAAAGATTCACATAACATTTTTTTGGATCTAAAATCAAGTATTTAAGTATTCAAGTAAGGTTTTAACTGATTCCTCCATCTGAATAGTAAGGCCGTTTAATGTTCAAGTTATTTTTATTAAGGGACCTGAGATTTTTAGGAGAAAAAATAATAACTTTGGATTTAGAGGGATTCAGCCGGAGGCTATGTTCTCTTGCATAATTTTCAACAGTATTTAGGTCCTCTATCATTTATGCCTCCGAAATTTCTAAATTTTCATGATTGAAGCTATGATATAATTGTGAGTCGTCAGCAAAAAGACTGAATACTAAAAAATTTCACAACCCTGTTTATACCTGCTATATACAAAATATAAGTTATGGTATTAGACCAGGGCTGTCCAACATACGGCCCGCGAAATCCTTTCTTCGGCCCGCTTCACGGGTCATGTATACATCACATGTATAAATTACTCTCAAATACCGAATATGCACAATTCTTACATTAACTCAGTAATAATGTTGTATAGGAAGATTTTATAATGCGGCCCTCCAAACTGCATTTTTTTTAAGTGGCCCTTGGGCCACATTAAGTTGGACAGCCCTGTATTAGACGGAAACAAGATCTTAAATTAGTATATTAATACCTAAATCAACACTTTTGAATGACTCAATAATTTATATTGGTCTAAAAATTTAAATGTTCTCCCTGATGATATCAAAAAATCAACTCAAAGATATTTCGCCGTGAACATGAAAACTTGCTACTTTGTAAACTATTTTATACCATGTGTGAGTACATTCACTTACTTGAGTCCCATGTGGGACCACATATGTAATTTTGTTTAGTTTTGTCATTAAGAATGATTGTATCTTCAGACATTAAAACATATCTATCTATAATTAGAAATCTAGTCGGTTGGCTTGGTATCTACCAGACACATTTCTGCTACCTAGCGGTTAGGGGTAACGACTTAACCTGTATTCTGTAGTACCGGGATTACTCACTTGTATTGGTAGCTGTTAAGTCATCATTATACACCAATCATAACTTAGCGTATTAAATAACGTTGGAACAATGTTGCCGAATCAAAACAGATTTAATCCGAAGACAATGTCGTTGAAAATCGGTAGATTCCAGGACAAAATCGGTAGGAGCAAAAATCAGGACTGTCATAAGATCCCCGATGGATCAAGGGACTTTGCGTTTCGCAGCGCTCTCTATTAAAAAATATATTTATGTATTGCGCTCACATGCACAACATGTTTTTTGAGGACTTCTGTTCCTGAAAAATATTAATATCTTCATGACAACTTGTACATGAACACATTGGTCGCTCTTCAAACTCCTTTGCAACCGTCATCCAAACTTCTTCTGCCCTTCTTGTTTATAAGATTATGAATATTTTATTGCTTTACCCCGAAACTTGGACCCATCACTTGCCATGTCAATTTAATGTTCAATTAGATGCAGATGTGCTTAGGTTTCCATATTGCTTGTCTGGTGATGCGGTAATGACGGTGATTACCAATCTGAAGCTATTGTGCACACAAGAACCAATACAGGGAACGCGGAATAAACGATGTGCCTTCTTATTTGTAGACAACCCAAATCTACGTCCTTCGTGTGCCCGGCAGCCTAAGTGTACGCTTATGTATGACTGGTATACGGGAGATAAAACTACGTAGACTATATAGAATTAATTTTTTCGGCTTTATTTTTGGTTCCAGCCTTTATTTTTGGTTCCAGCCTTTATTCGGTAAAACGTCTAGAAATATCTAAATTATTTTAAAAGATCGTGGAAAATGAGAACGTTTTCGGTAGCTTCGGCAACATTGGATTGGAATTTCACACGGAAAATACATTCAGAATTATATATATTAAATGTAACAGCAGAAAAATCTATTGTTTTTGTTTTTTGCAGGTGATTGGCATTGTGCCTATGTTCTACTTTATGGTCCTAAATTATTAGAATTGCCAGCGGAAGAGGAAAAAATGGTGACCAACTAATTTGATATGTGCTTCAAGCGAACAATTTATGTATGATTAAAAATGAAACATTTATGTAAATAGTGTTTTTGTTGCCGAAATACACTTGTACCTTGTGGACATAGATATGACAACCCATAAAATTTAGTTTGGAGATTTCAATATGGATGAAGATATTTTGTGGTTCATTCCTTGTTACATATCTATGTCCCTATAATGGTATAATATATAATCTTTACTTGCGATACGCGCGGCTTTTAGTTGCCGGCGTCAGTTTAATTAAATTAAATTAACATTATTTCGAATTAATAACGAAATGACAGAATTTAACTGGGATGATAGTGCAGTACTTTTATTGATAGAAAAGTATCAAGAAAATTAACTGTTGTGGAACAAAACGCATAAGGATGTCAAGAATCGCAACAAAAGACATGATGCTATTAGGGATATTGCTTCCGTGTTCAATATAACATCAGAAATTGAGAGAAATTGGTGCCAGTTTTTGATATTATGGATCCAGTTAAATTGAGTAATATTTGGAATTCTTCACTAAATATCCTTAGAAAGGTGTCTTTCGAACGAATATTTCCTCGGTTTATGTCGTCCATTCTTAAATCTTCAAGAATCGGGGACACATTAGGCCTATTTCGTAGACTTGGTCTGACCCAATATCTTCGTTTCATTTTGCGGTTATTTTATGAATAATAACGTTCAACACAACTGGGATACAAGCAACTATATTATAGTCCAACATCTTCCAATCCTACATACACCACTAACTTCGACGATAGTCGCAACACTACTGCGAAAATTGCAACCGCAGTGGCAAGGCAGACTGAAAGCCGGCGACATGTGTACACCTTAATAACGTCAAATTCTTCCCTCATATGCAAGTTATGCTTGCAAATGCACTTCGACTCTCTTCAAATATAGTTTTTTGAGTGTCAATGGGTTATTTTGCCAGGGTTGAGAAAAAACATGTTTTAAGAAAATAACAAAAATCATGTTTCTTTATTTAAAACTTTTTTTGTTTAAAACATTCAAATTCAGCTGAAAAAAACATGTTTAAAACAGTAAAAAGAATTAAAATACTATTGCCTATATAATCTAGCAACGTAATGAAGTTCCATGAAAGTGTTATCACTATTTTTGATCCAGCTCTATCAGAGCACATCTCTAATTTAAAAGCGGACGGCGGAAAACTACCGCGCGGACGTCGGGGAAGTACCGTTTGCCTTTGGATAATTTTTCGCGTTGCGATCTCCAGCAGGTCCAGCAGCAGTCAAATGTGCGACGTCGTAGCAAAGGTGATGTGTTTTGTTTTTTGTGTATTAAAGATCGGCAAAAAAAGAAAGGCAATGACAGGGAGGAGAAAGGATCCCGTGTGGAAATATTTTAAGGAGACTGATGCCAAAGCTGGCTCGAAAATAAATAAAAGAGCAAAATGTTTAACCTGCAATATGGATATAGTGCCACTGGTGGCTAAAATGCGGAAGCATATTAAGAATTGTAAACAACTTAAATAAGGAATTTTGCTACAAAAACAAAATATTCATATATCAGATAGTTCTGATACCGACAATGATGATGTTTCTACCGAACCTATTTCCTCAAAGTTAAGTAGCTTGGAGAATCGTGAAAAAGGTAAGACATACCTAATTGCTGTTAAATTTTGTTTAAATATGTTAAATATATAAGAATTAAGAATAAAACAGGTCCGTATTAAGGCTCGGTATATACTTTTTGTTTTGTATAAGTAAATTTCTGTTAATCAATCGCGTTGAATGTTTAGTTATTATTACAATTATTAAATAGGTTTACTTTATTTTTTAGATGGCTCATCACAGACCTCTACTACACTAACAGCAATGTTATTAGTGCTTGCAGTACAGCGTCATCCAGTTTTTCGCTATTGATAAGGAGATAGAGATGATGTACAACAAAAATCGCGACTGGCTTCATTGGTTGTCAAAACAACATGTAGCGAGAAAAAAAAATTGATATCCAAGAAGCACGTTTTGTTTATGCCACAAACTGTGCTTTTAGTTTAGAGTAGTGGAACACCGAGTTTAAGCGGCTAATGGAAATATTGCGTTCAGGATATCAGCCACCTAATCGTCAGCAAATAGGAAACGAACTTCTTAGTAACGTATACACAACTTTACAAGTAGAAATAAAAAAGGGATTAGGTAATAAATCAGCATGTCTGTTGATGGTTGGAGCTATATTAGAAATGATTCAATAGTGTGTGTGTGTCCGTAAATGATATTCAAGAAGGTAAAGTATATCTAATTGACACTGAAGACAAAAGTCATACTTCTGAATACTCGTTAAATTCATTAGTGGAGTCTATAAGGCGTTGTTACACAGATTATAATTGTCAGAAGAGGTTGTGACAGATAATGCTGCAAATATAACTAAGATGCGTGCAGAACTAGCAAAATGCGATGGAGCAGGTCTAGCTGATATAATTACTTATGGGTGTTCTGCACACATTTTAACTTTATTTGCACAAGATATTCAGGTGCCAACTTTGAACTTTAAAATAACACAAAGAAAATTATAAAGTACTTCAAAAATGTACGTTTCGCAGCAGGCAAATATAAAATATCTGGCGGAAAAGCTCTCGTGATTCCACAAGAGGTTAGATGGAACACTTTAGCTGACTCTATTGAATCTTATCTAGAGAACTGCACATATCAAAAATTTGTTTAGAAAACCGAGCTGCTATTGATATTCATATCTCGGAAAAAATTAATGGTTTAAATAAGTTAAAACAAATAGCAATTGCCCTAGATAAGATTCAACGAGATGACTGTACAATTAGCGAATGCACAGAAATTTGGATAGACCTATTTGCCTTTTTTGAAGAAAATGAAAATTGCACTGATTCAGATCGAAATCATTTTGTAAAAAGGTTTCATATGGCTGTCTCCAGCACTCTATCTGGCAAATATACTAGATTATCGATTCCAAGGACTAAAATTGAATCTAGAGCAACGCGAAGACGGTCTTGATTATGCCTCTCGCTATTATCCTGAAGCGATGCCTTCTATTGAAAGTTATCAGGCAAAAACATCACCATTTAAGGATTATTTATTTTAAGGCAATTTGAAAGGTCCTTGAAAGATAACTTAAAAAATGTTACAATTGACCCTGTTCAGCAGCTTCATCTGCTGGGCTTGAGCGTATTTTTTCCTCATTTGAGATAATCCACACCAAACTTCGTAATAAGATGGGCACAGAAAAAGCGGCAAAATTAGTCACAGTATTTCAACACCTAAATCAAAGCGTGAAAAGTAGATTATTACATTTTCTACTTGGAGTTCCGTAAAAAGTAGTCAAAACTAAAAATTTATTCTATGTACATTTTACATGATTTTATATTTTAAAATATGGATTTAAGGGTTTTTTGACTTTTTTGTTAAATAAAATGGGTTGTGTACTTTTATATAATTTTGTTAAGTATCCTGCCGCTTGTAGTGTACTAGTAATACTAGTTCAATTCAGTTTATTAAGTTCACTCGTTCCACTAGTATTAGTTCCCTAGTTTCATGTTTGATTAATTAATAAAAATAAAGTATATTTTCTAGTACCTATGTGTGTTAACCAAGTTTTAACCTATGACCCTATTAGTTTCGTTTTGCAAAATAAAATCAATTTTAATCATACTTAAAAAAATTAATAAATTAATAATAAAAAACTTGAATAATTCAAAAACGACAAAAAACAGTGTTTAAAACAAATTGGTTTAAAACATCTTCATTGTTTTAAACACCCATTTTACACATTTTGATTAAAACATAACAACCCAGTGCCGGATGCTCCGCTGTTCGATTTTCGTCCGCCTGCGCGCATGACGTCACGCTGAGAGTGATTCTCATTTAGGTTGATATGGATAACGTGCATATTTTCACCTACAGGCCAAATGGCTGGACGGATTTTCACATATGAAGTGTCGTTGGATTCGTCTTAGCGGTATGAGTGACACAAGCTACATTAAAATTTTATACAAAACAAAATTGCGGATTTGAATAAAAGATTTCAACCTTGTAATTCCTACTTCGCAGGCTATAACTTAGACGGCATTCTAGCTCCACGATAGAGCGTATCGTCGCTTTACTGTAAAAACAAGATAACTCCATTTTTCTACATTACCTATATTTTAGTATGTTCTGTGGAGCAGAATTAACATGCTCATGAAATGTGCGCAACTCGAACAGTAGAAAAATGGAGTTATCTTCTTTTTGCAGTAAGCTGGCGGTATAACAATAAATGGAATTTAATTTAAGCAATATTTTTTCTCTATTTCCTTTTACGATTTTTCTGGTCTTTCAAACTTTTATTCAGTGCTTTGATCCGAAAGAATATCCTTGGCATGAAAAATAATTTTTTAGCTTTTTCAGAGTAGTCAATGTTCCTACTCTCCAACTGAAGTTCGCCTTTAAAATTTTACTTCCCTGTCACTATTCCGTCCCCATTGACTATAGTAAACACCTTGTTCAGCTTCTCAATTTGGTTCATGAGAACTGTGGAAGGTTTTGATAATCCACCCTCACTAAGATATTGTACCCAGGAATAAGTTTCATTTGAGGAACTTTTCAACCTCTTATCCTGCAATTTATGGCAAACAAAGCCGTCCAAATTTTCCAGCCCGTCATACTCGAGCTCATCTATTCAGTGTATGCGTATCGTGCTTACCCTGTGTGGTTCTAAACGGAATACTTTCAAAGACATGAAGATCTTACAAAAAAAAAGACGAAGTCAATCTAAAAAGTGCTAGGGTTTGCTCGAAGCACTTTTGTGAAAGTGCCGATAAGGTTAATTTGAAACATACCCTTTTGGGTTACACCCCTAAAAGATATCGTTCTCTAAAAGATGATGACATTCCTTCGAAAAATTTACCCAAGTCTCTATCATCACCTGAACCTTCTACATAATGTTGCTGGGGAAAGGCGGAAAAGTGCTTATGAAAAAAGGCAAAGGGCTCAACTTATCCACTAAAGTTGGAAGTATAGAATAAGGTCATATATTTTATGGCGAAACGAAGGCGCATACTCAGGGTATTGCAGCGTAGAGTCAGAGGAAACTCCAGTCATTCCACTAACCGCACCATTAACGAATAAACTGAA